AATTATTAGTTTAGGGTACTTTGGTAATTTATCACTTCATTAAAGGTTATAGGGTTATATAAGAATTTTTTTGGTGTTAGAGATTTGGTGTTGAGAGAAAGGGTGTTATAAAATATTTCTTACCATTGGCATCTCTCTAGAGAAATTGGTTCGATTGGGTTTTAAGTGCCCTCTTTCCTCCTTTACGGAGAGTCTTATCCTCCCAAATCTTTCACTTGTGATTAGTGGAATTGTTATAGGGAGCATTGTGTTGAAGATGGTTCTATTTAGAGTAGAAACGAAGATGTTAATCGTCTCTTGTTTAGATAGTGCAAACTGTCTAGCCTCAACGACCAAGGAGGTTTTGTTTCCTCCCCTTAGTGGTGTTGATCAAGATTGCCAAATTGAAGACGTCTTCATGTTTGTCGATCCTTATTCGAATGCTACATTGGTTGAACTTGTGAGTTCACATTTATCTTTAAGTCTCATTTTGAGCACTTGTTGTCTAAGTTTTACCATTTGCTTGTCTATTTCGGTGGCCAAGACATTGGTTTGTTCGGCTCGATGTAGTCTTGCTGTATCCTCCCTTGGTGGAGTTAAACGTTTTCAAAATTAATGCAAGTTTGTGACAAAAAAAAATATATTGACTAATCCTTAAATATATTGGTCAATTATTTCATTTTAATTAAATATTAATTTAACATATATCTTAAAAATAATTTACTCCATTTAAATATAATTAATTTGAACTCTAAAGATTATAATTTTATTTTGCATAATTAACTAAAATTTGATTGGTAACACAAATAATGAAGTAGATTAAAACATTGAGTGTGCGTTGTTACGTTGTTTAAAAATAAAAATGGAATTTCTTAAAAGTCTACGAGCGGTGGCCCTGAATCTGTGGACCCTAGATCGTTGATTTGGAGATCTAGATATTGCACATCTACTGTGATGTGATGTAAAATTAATCGAGGGTATCCATGAACTTTTGAGGGTATCATTAAATATAAAATTATTAAAAACACACTTTCTCTT